ACTATGCTGTTTCACAGCATTCAATCCTCTCTCATTATTGATTAGTCTCGCTGTATCACAATAGACGAAGCTTTACATATAACTCCTTTGTGCTTATATTATTGGGAATTCCTTTTAGAACATCTGACTTACATATAGGTCAACATCAAATTAAGGCACCAAAGACCTCAAATTCTCTGGAACTGGAGAATGAAATCAATAAAGAAAAGCAACCCAGTCTCTCATACAGCTAAACCAATGTCAATAAGTTCACTTCTTTAACTCAGAGACTCTAACTAACTTTTCCTATGACTGAGAAAACCATTGTTTCCTACTTCAATACTCGGTTAATAATGGGTTTTTCCATGGATAAGACAAAGTACTTTATTTTCAAAATAGTACAAGAAGGTACCAAAAAGTTTACAAGGGATCCAGGCTTAATTAACTACACAAAAACAGAGTTTAGAAAGTACTTGGTGGATAATGGTCTATCCTTCTACTCTTCTCCACTTAAATACCAAACTTGGTTTACAGCAGGCTTCAATCTAGTGACGTGTGCCTCAAATTCCCAAACTAACTTAAGCCCCATATTACCAATTTTGTGTTAGAAAAACTTTTATTCTGGCTGACACTCACAAGTCCATTCTGCTACAACCTCCATACACATATTTTCTATAATATAGGCTTAGTTCAGTAGGAGTGTAAATAAGTACCCCATTATTTACTCCACGACATTAAGGAATTGCTTAGTTCTTTGATTACTTATACAGAGATTACAATTTGGGATTGTCATGAGGAACTATAATGCATTGATTGTTATACCATGAATGATAACACGTGGATTTGTTATCACTCCTTAGTCATCCAATAGTTACAGCATTAGTTATTTCTTTTTAGCAGTAGTTATTTCCTTTTAGTAGTAGTTATTTTCCTGTAATAGTGCAGTTTTTCATTTCAATAATGTTAGGAAGTCATGTCTTGGTTTCTAGGGGTAGTTATCTTTTAAGTGTTGTATTTAAACTATCTGTTTGTCTTAGGAAATGAAAGCAGAAAAGTAATTTCAGTTTTTGAGTACTTTAACACAAGAGATTGCAGGTTCTCTCTTAGCGAACCAGCACCATACGTCGTAAGAAGAAAACTTCAGATTTTATCTTGCAGCATCCCATAACTAGATCCATAACAGGGGACCATAACAACTTGGTATCAGAGACGAGAATTATGGGAGACTAAATTCAACATCAACACAATTGGTGAACTTGTTCCACGAAGAACGTGCAGCCAATTTGGCCAGGCAGGAAGCAATAATTGCTCGTTTAGATGCACTCGCAAAGTAGGAGGAAGTTTCACCATTCCTCGACATACAAAGTTGGATTTCCCACGATTTAATGGCCAAGAGGACCCTTTGGGATGGTTGAACAGATGTGAACACTTCTTTCGACACCAACAAACTCCAGAAGAAGAAAAGGTTGGACTTGCTTCTTTTCATTTAGAAGGCAATGCACAACTTTGGTTTCTTCAACTAGAGATAGATATGCCTCAACCATCTTGGGATGAATTCAAACGTCAATGTAACCATTGCTTTGGGAAACCAATTAGAAGTCAGAAATTGGGAGAATTGGCTAAGTTATGCCAGATCGGGTCTGTGACAAATTACCAAGAAAAGTTTGAGCAGTTAATTTCCCGGGCTGGTACACTCACTCAGTCGCAAAAAAATTGAACTTTACATCAGTGGTCTTACTGATTATATAGCAATTGAGGTTGAGTAGCATAATCCTCCAGATTTGGCTACGGCAATGAGTTTATCTCAACTTTATGAACGCATGGAACAACCTGTTTGTTCGCAATCGTTAGATGCTTGCAAATCTATGACAACAGATTTCTCAACTCAACAACATGCCAGATTTGTGAAGAAACTGACCAGATCTGAAATGGAGGAAAAGCGACTTAAGGGACTTTGTTTCAATTGTCATGAACCATTCACCCGAGGTCATCAATGCAAGAAATTATTCTAGATTGACTATATAGACGATGAGGAAGAGTTTGTTGAAAAGGAGGGAAATACTAATTTCCGCACTTAGCGCTTGAGGACAAGCGCGATTTGAAGGAGGAGAGTAATGCTATCACTCCTTAGTCATCCAATAGTTACAGCATTAGTTATTTCCTTTTAGTAGTAGTTATTTTCCTATAATAGTGCAGTTTTTCATTCCAGTAATGTTAGGAAGTCATGTCCTAGTTTCTGGGGTAGTTATCTTTTAAGTGTTGTATTTAAACTATCTGTTTGTCTCAGGAAATGAAAGCAGAAAAGTAATTTCAGTTTTTGAGTACTTTAACTCAAGAGATTGCAGGTTCTCTCTTAACGAACCAACACCATAGGTCGTAAGAAGAAAACTTCAAATTTTATCTTGCAGCGTCCCATAACTAGATCCATAACAGGGGACCATAACAGGATTCTTATCATTGCAAGCACAAACCTATTGCTGACATCACAGCCGAAAGGTGCAACCAATGATTTACACAATGAAATGAATACTTACAGCACCACAGGAATAACTGTCAGAAACTTCCTATTGGGAGTAAGCTGCTTGCCATTATCCATTTGCTCCCACCATGTCAATCTGTTGTAGATACCCTGGTCTTCAGCAAATGGTGTTCCCTTCTTCCAGTGAAAACAGTGATATGTGACCTGAAGGAAAACAGACAAGAGAAGTTATGCACAAATGAGACAGAAAAGCCTGCTAGGTGCACAACAAGCTTCCCCACTCTGCTATGTCATCTGGTAGTTTTCAGGATTTTATAGAAATATCAAAATTTAGCATCAAAAAGGAAAATCAAATGAGTGCCTACTACATTTCTTAGGTATTAAGTATCTCAATATTTTCCAGAAGAATATAACAGAGTACAGAAGTGAAATCTACTGCTACAAAAGGGAAGCAAGAAAAGCTTAAACCACTATAAGGGAAAGGTATTAATGCCATAATGGATGATGATACATTTCATACACTGATGAAGGTTTTAATTTAGCCAAAAAATATCTCTTTTGAAAAATATTCCCAAGAATAAAGGTACTGACTCACTATATATTCCTCATACCACAAGACTGGTGAAATTTGAGAAATCACAAGGACCATATGCATGTACCATAATGACCTATAAAGGACTAGTGCACTAAGTTCCTCTATACATGTCCCAGAATGACCTATAAAGGGCAGCATGGTGTACTAAGCTCCCACTATATACGAAGTCCATGGAAAAACCGGACCACAAAGAATCTATTATACGCAGTCTTACCCTGCATTTACACAAAATGTTGTCTCCACTACTCAAACTCATGACCTCATGGTCACAAGTCACCAACTTTACCAAAATGAACTATAATTCAATCAAATTGGAAGCAGAAAACAAATATCTGGGCTTTAAGTAGCCATAGATAGGTTTATCAATATTATCATACAGCTCTTCCAACAGAAAGAGAGTCTAAGATCCATTCCCTCCCAAAATCCCAGATCTCAAAAACCAAAACACAGTCAACTAATCATAAACGCATATTCCAAAACCAGATCAATACCTAAAATCGTTTCAAAAAACACAAAATATTAGAGAAAATTAATACGTACAAGGAAATGAGCAAGATTGACAATAGTCCAGGCCATGCCTGATGAGGACCCAAAAACAGACAGCACAACGAGCCATGAGAACAACAGAATGAATATGTAAATAGTCCAAACTCCAGGATACGTGAACCACTCAGTATTCCGATTCAGATCCGTCGTTGGAGCAGCCCTCACATACAAATTCGCCATCCAAATGGATCGAATAATACTTTTTAGAAAAAAAAATCAATACAAATTTGAAGAAAAAACCTTGAATGAGATGGATATGGCGATTAATATCGCATTAGTCTGAGTATTTGATCAACGAAAACAGAGACTCACGAAAACAGGAGGATAGCTGGCTGCTATGGGTAGGGGTGGTGGGACCGCTGAGCCGTAGAGGGGAAATTCATCTCAGCTTCTTTTTGACAAATGATTGTTAATCCATATTTTTAGTCATTAACTCTTTTTTTAATCTCACTTAATCACAATAAAAAGTAAAGTAACTCTAATTAATTGAATAATTCTTGTAGTAATAGGTAACCTTAACCCTACACACAATGTATTGCCAATTACTTTTTGTCTATTTTAAAACAAACACGTCATTTTCTATATTTAGTAACTCTAATTTCAAGAGCCAATTCATATATTTAAAAGATATGTGCTATGTAACTTAGACTCAACTGATATTTATGTCCTCCAATTTTAGGCGTGACAAATAGACATACACTCCTATGTGACATTCTACGTGGTAGTCCACGTCCTACATGGCATCATATGTGCATCTTACGTGTATTATGTCACATATGACGCATGTATTTGCTTGTTCAACGTTTGAATAGTTTAAGTGTCTACTTATTTGTGCACACCCAAAGTTGGAGGGGATAGATGTCACCTGAAACCAAGTTAAATGATATATTTATGTATTATGCCTATTTTAAATGACAAAGGATTAAAATGCCTTTAAAGTTTAAACTATATGAAATTTAACAAAAATACCCCAGTTAATAGTTTTGTAAAACCAAAAATCCCTTGTTGTCAACAGATTGGTTCAAATTTATCAATGTTGTCAATATTTTGATCCAAAAATACCCCTGTTATTACTTTTGGATAAAAAATGTTTATTTTTTCTAATAAAGATATTGTTTCTTTTCTTCTTAAATACATTCTTTTCTTAATACTAGTATTTACTAGAATTTAATATTAGAAGTCTTGTTTTAGAAATTATTCTTTGTGAGAATGTTTCACATTCATCTCAGAGCAACAAATTAATGCAATTAAACTTTGTTGCCTATTGGTCCTCAGTTAATATTGGCTGTTTTTACTCTAAACAAACGGAAATGAAGAGCAAGATAAACATTTTCACAGCTTAGCAAATCAATGAACATGACTAAACAGGAAATATCATTTTGCTGGAAAAAGACTAGTCCTCCTATTTACAAAAACTAATCTCAAACTCCTTCAATCACATCTTCGCAGCTTTTTAGCTGGTGTATCTGTTTGATTGAGAGTAACCTCTCTTGTATCACAATGGTTCTCATTTTTGCGTTTCTTCGAGCTTTTGCAATTATGGAATGAAGTCAGTTCCTCCACTTTCACCTTAGTAACATCAGTCCTTACACCAATGTCTGTTGCATACCTGGTCAAACAATACATTCCAGCGGTTGCTATGACTAAGCCAACCGGACTTGTCATGAATAACTTCAGAGGCGACGAAGCAATAGCTGCCAAAGGAGCACCTATAACAGAGGCAGCTTGACCACTCCTTCCAAGAGCTCCTTGGTCAAGAACAAGAAGACCTGTTTTGCAGTATAAGGCAAAATCTTCACAGTTATTCTTGAAGACATCATAACTTCCAAAACCGCTTTGAAGCAAGTACATGGCTCTATGGATCACTGCCTCTGGAGGATCTGATTGTGCAGTGGTGCATGTCCCACCTCGAAGTTTAGTAAGAAAAACTGAAGGGCTGGCTCCATAGTCAAAGCGGTACAATAACCCCTCCTCACCCAAGAAACAATCCAAGCAAGAGAGAACCACCCCACTTTCCTTTTGTTGAAATCCACAGTCAGGAATATTCGTACAGGTTGAAGACACATTTGTACTCGAAGCTGACGAACAATTTAAGGGAGCAGAGAAGAGAATTGGGTCTCCTGAAACAACATTTTGGTCACGCGTAAAATGAACAACTTTGCTTCCACCAACGTAGATTCCTGTTCATGAATTTCAGACATTCAAAAATACTTTGTCAAGTGACACCAGCTACTGATCAGCTACCAGAATATATATCACTAACTATGGTTGAATAGCTCAATTCGGTTGCAATACATATTGACATATAGATGACTGACGGTCTGACAAGAAAACAAATAACAGGAGAAAACGTTTACTGTGCCTCATCCACTAATTACTAGAAAGTGTTATCATGGTAATATATCAACATCAAAGATGAAGTTAGAGTGATTTCCTCATAATGACCCGTTATGTAAGACTCAAGAGACATGCATGTTAACACTGTGATGTAGAGTATTAACATGACACGCGGATCAGATATTTCCTACTGCTGAATTTTATCTTTTTCATCAGTAGATAATTTTATTGTTGATACAAATGTACCGAGGAGGTATTGAATATATCAAGAGTATCCGGCTGGCTCCTTTTATAATTGAAAGAGAGTCCATGAGCTTCAGGATGTTTTTCTTCGTCATTTACAAAGTCTCTCCTAAATTAATTTTGAAGATATCTGAACTTTACATGGGTATATTCGCCTGAGGCTTTCGGACAAGACTAGAGGTTCTGTATTACGGGTCAATCCTACTCTACTAGCGCTAATAGGGCTATGAATGACCCAGTATCGAATACTGGTAATAATATCAGCCGAAACATCTAGAAGGGTTCGCTTATAGTTATTCAAACGCATTACAAGTGTGATGCTCTAACCTCTGAGCTAAGCGGGCCCACATCACAGAAATCTTATATGCATAGTAATTGACTAAACTACTGGCCTTTCCCCCTCAATAATCTACTCTTCTTTCTTAGTTTCAAAAAAAAGTAATCTACTTTTCTTTCTATCCAAATTGTCCAAAGTATATAGAGGTATAGTGCTACTACAAAAATATCATCTTAGCAAAAAGTAAAATAATAGAATTTTCAGAAGCAGCTCCTGAAGAAGGATGTACCTTCTCGAGAATTGTGTGATCGCTTGTTTCTTTTTCGTATGCTTAATCCACTACGATTTAAACGAAGTTAAATATGCTCGTAAAGTTGTAAACGACTCAAGTGCAAAAGCTAAGGACCACTGAGAATATAGAACACCATATACTCTCTAAGGCAAGTTTATCAATCTTATTTTCAGCAATGTAGGAGATCCAAATGTTTGTCTAGATGAAAGCAGTATGATTTCATTTTTGACAAGTTCCATAGGTGTTGAACTGGGGAGCAAATGAGTTTAAATGAATAGCCTAACACATTAAGATTGTTTCCATATCAACTAGCAAGGAACATATTGGAGGCAGTGGCGAAGCTAAAGGGAGCGAAGAAAGATCAATTGAATCACCTTTCCGAAACAGAAATAGGGTAAAAACATTTCTTTGGTTATATATGAACTGTTGAGTACCCTTGACTTGAGAAAAGAATCTAGTGTAGTGGGAAAGGGGTTCAAAAATTGCCTTTAAGTCAAGTTCAAATCCTAGGTGTGACTAATAAATTTTTTAAATCCCTTTATGAAGTTTTGACAATTTATGTAAGCATAGTAATGTTGGTGTGATGTAAAAGCTGGAGTAAAAATCACAGATTGATGTACATTCATTTCTGCAAATACAATAAAAATGTTACAAAATTGAAGAAATGTTCATCCTGTAATACAAGTGAGTTCTCAATTTTTATGCACATGCACCCCCAAAATGGCGTGGACCTCAAGATTTGTTAATGTCCGTTACATTATTTTTAGAATGTGTCACCAAGGCTTAAAGGTAAGTTCTACAGAATGGTGGTTAGAACAACATTGTTGTATGGAGCAGAGAGTTGGTCGGTCAAGAACGTCTGCATTCAGAAGATGAAGATAGTAAAGATTAGGATGTGGCATACTAGAATAGATATGATTAGGAATAAAGTTATACCGGGTAAGGTGAGAGTGGTTTCCGTGGCGGACAAGATGAAGGAAGCGAGGCTGAGATAGTTCAGTTATGTGAATAGGAGGTGTGAGGATGCGCCAATAAGGAGGCATGAGAGGTTGTTTGTTGCCAGAATTAGTAGGGGTAGAGGTTGGTTGAAGATGAACTAGGGTGAGGTGATTGGACAGGACATGTCATAGCTTTAGCTAAATGCGGACATGATGATTAGGATAAAAGGTTAATAGGTAGTCCATTGTCGTCACAAAGACACTTTGTGTGGGAGAGGTACGGGGATAAGCCTCCTCCTCTCATCTTCTCCTTTTTAATAGCATTATTTAGTAATCACGTAGTTTCTTATTCTTCAATGTATATTACTATTTGTTGCTTGATTTGTATTGTATCTTGCTATTTTGCTATCATTTTTTTCCTTGCATCGAGTATTTTTCTTTTGAGCCAAGGGTTTATCGATAACAACTTTTCTACCCATAAAGTTAGGATAAAATTTAAGTACATCCTACCCTCCTCAAACTCCACCACAAGAATGAGAAATTAAAAGGAAGTCCACAAAGAGGAATAACACTCCAACTTTTTTGTGGATTTCAATTGTGTCCATCTGCCAAATTCATTCACAATTGACAATGAAGGCTGTTTGTATTTCCCCAATCATCTCTCTAATCTAAGGCCCATATGCTACTGTACAGAATTACTTATTAAAATTTAAAATGTGTTCTACTTTAAACAGTAGGGCTGGCTATTCAAACCATTCATCGTGTACTCAAACCAACGAACAATTGAAATGGTGAAAAGGGTTGCAGACTGAGACTGACCGTGATGAGAGTAAGCGAAGACAGTTCTCCAAGTGTAGATATGGTCACCTGATGCTATCTCGCTCCTTTCTACTTTGTGAGTGAGCAGACCCATCTCTTTCCCTCTCTGCAATCGCCAGAGTTTGATGAAAATGGCGATAATTATTCGACTGGGAGAGGGAAACCGCTGCGCCGCCCGCTACAAGCTGCTCCGATCTGGTTTTCTCTATCCTTTTCGAAACTCCATTAATTTGAAAACACTGGAATCCAAATATTCTATTCTATTTTAATTCTAATTAAAAATAGAAAAATACTTATCACTTCCAATCTAAATGTACATATATATTTTCAATAAAGTCATTGGAGTACAAAATTTGAATTTAACGGATAATAATTTTTTTCTTTTTTATAATAAAGTTTGGCATATTCAAGTCATTAGTAGCAATAATATGCTTCATTTTACCGTCCGTTGAATGAAATTATACTTATATTTTTTTAAATCGCTGAGGTTAAAGCTCTTGCATAAGGGTAATTTGAAGAAAAGTAGTGGAGAGCGAGAATAACCAAAAAAATGGCTAGAGAATTTAATTTCTCGAGACATGAATTTCGTTAATATAAACCTGAGTTATTTGTAAAAAAATGGACAGAGTCCAAACCTGATAAGTTTTTAAATACTTAAAGAACTAAAATCGATAAATGTATATTTAAGCGATTAAAATGGATAAATATATAGTTCATGGACTAAATCTGACAAGTTTTCGAATAGTTGAAAAACTAAATCCGACAAAAATATAGTTAAGGGACCATTTTTAGACCTACTCCTATATTTTTTAGGGATTATTTATGGCATTTTCTCTATTTTCACAAGTATAATACTAGTAGAAAATGGAATTACTTTTATTTTGATATTCTATATAAATTTGATAACTTTATTAAATTTAGTCGAGTGATTAAACATCTATATTACTAGTTGAGGGTTTGAGTCTTGTCTCGGATTGAGGAATACTTAACCAATAAAATTGCACCCACAGGTGGAGATGGCAAGAATCGAGCTAGGGGATTCAAATTCCCTTAAGTGGAAAATATACTATTTATACATATTTAAAATTATTTTTTAGACGTTGAATCATCTTTGACCTCTTAGTATGTTTACTTTTTATGTTTCGAACTCCTTAATAAAAATTATGATTCCAACGGTACTTGTAGCAATAATGATAACAATGGAACTCGTGGAATAAATTGAGATTCATATAGCTAATCTCACATGGAACTGAGGCATACTAAACCAACAAAGTTGCATGAAGGAGTGAAGCTAGCAGGGGCTGAGGGGTTTCAAATCCCCTTCGACGCGGAAAATTATATTATTTATATATAATTAATTAATATTATATATAGAGAGAGAGAAAGAAGTAAATGTTGAACTCCCTTTGACCTTTTCATGTATTTATTTTTTATATTTTGAATTTCTTAATGAAAAATCTTGATTCCGGCGCTAATTGCAACAAGAATGGTAACATCGGAAATCATGTAAGAAGTTGAGATTCAACCGATTTTGTTTCAATCACATGCAATATTGGTATTTTTAGGTGGTGTATTTGTTTGATTGAGGGTGACCTTTCCGAGATCAAAATGGTTCTTATTGACGGATTTTCTTCACGCTTTTTTTATTACGGAAGAAAGTTAGTTCCTCCATCTCAAAGTTGATCAGATCAACTATTTGAATATAATTGTCAAAAAGGCGTGTAACAACTTAATTTGTTCATAAAATTTCATCCGCGTGGCAGCTCGACTCATTATTTTGAGGCTTGATTTCCTTTATCTCAAAAATGACTTGAAAATTATTTTAGGTTGCAAATTTATATCTCAGCTTTAGTATGTCATGTAGAAAATGTGGATCAACTAGTTCAACTTTAAACATGTTTAAATCTCTATTTGTACACACCCAAAGTTAAAGGACAAAGAAGTCAATTGCAACAAAGTTAAAAGAAACGGTATGTATTACGTCTAAAACATTATAAGACAAAATATTCAACTAACATATATCATAAAGTAACTAGATACGTACTATGATGAAAAAAGAACCAACATCATATCATAACAAAATAGTTCCCATAAGTACAACAATAATACATTGTTTATACATATACACTCGTGATAAATATAATTTTATACAACAATGATACAAATTTCATACACATTCTATACAATAATTGTACAGTTTCTATACATATCCTATACCAATACATATTATATACACATCCTATACAAATATATATTCTATACAACAATAATACAGTTTCTGATTACGAAAGGAAGTTCGTTTCTCCACTTTCACCTTTTGTAGCATCACTCATAGTCATCGTGATACTAATGTCATTCATCAAGAAGACCTCTCCAATATTTTGCTCTGTGAAATGGATAACTTTGCTCCCACCAACATAAATTCCTGCTCGTAGTAGATGGCCTCTTCAATCAACTTTTTTGATATCAATAGGACATTCTACACCTCCTTTGTGACAACAAAATGGATAATTGAAGATTTTTTAAATACAATCTCATACAACGATGAATGTATTATATACACATCTTATACAAATACATATTCTATACACATCCTATACAAATACATAATCTATACACATACTATACAAATACATTTTCGATACACGTCCTATACAAATACATAATCTATACACATCCTATACAAATACATAATCTATACACATCCTATATTCCTATACGAAATACATATTCTATACAACAATCTATACACTGCCTATACAACTACATATATATTCTATACAACAATTATACAATTTCTATACACTACCTATACAACTACATATATATTCTATACAATAATTGTACAATTTCTATACAATTGTATTTGTTTGGTTGTGTCTTTTTCCGATGTAAAGAGTCTCTCTATTTATAATTGTTTTTGTATTCCTAAATTCATTCGAATTGGGAACATATATATACAAATTATTTTATCTCTTTTTGTTTTGGTTGGTTTCTCAATTAGTTTTGGTTTCGGAAAAGAGTTATTTATGGAAACAAAATAGTTTTGGAAGGACTTTGCATATTTTCCCAAATTGAGTCAAATTAGAAGATAAATTCTTGTTCAATACTTTCTCTGTCCACTTGTATTTTTCATGTAGCATTTTCGAAAGTTAATTTAACTAATTTTCATAGATAAATTAGCTTTCATTAATTCGATATTTTAAACAAAAAATTTAGATATTCAAAAACTATATGAAAAGTACTATAAATTGTAATTTTTCGCATATCAATATGATGAAAAATACATCGTAAAATGTTAGTCAAAGTTTTTATAATTTGACTCTAAAAAAGGAAACTATGACAATTAAAAGTGGACGGAGGTAGTACTTATTTGGTGGGAAATTTGTACTTTTAATTCCTCAAATTTTAACAAATTATAATTTTAATTCTTCTTATAATTGTGGGTCTTACTATATATATTTTCATAATTATAACAATAGTAGAAAATGGAATTATTTTTATTTTGATATACTATATAAAATTTGATAACTTAATTATCAAGTCTGGGTGGTTGAACACCTCTTCCATTAGTTGAGGCTTCGAGTCACGTTGGAGAATAAGTAAGAATACTACTCATCTTACTCAAAAAAAAAAAAGTAGAAAATTCTGTTTTATAGGAATGCTTTATCAACTTTATTGCTATTTATATTTGTTGAAAATTTATTCCGAAAAAAGTGAATAATTCTCATGGAAAAACGACTCTTTAAATTGTTCTATTTACATTATTTTAAAATGACTTATGATGGTATTGGCTTTGCTGCTCTACTTGTAGTTGTATTCCATGGAAATGCAAACAAGGAGTTATATTGATTTGTTAGTTAGTTTATTGTATTTAGTTTGTTGAATTTGTGTTATTTGATTGTTAGTTTGTATGATTGATTGTTAGTTAGTGAATGAATTAGAATTTTTTTATTTTAGGGCTAGTTTGAATTAGAAATTTTTGAATTTGATTGTGAATTGGATATTTTTTGAGTTGATATTGAAGTGTTTTTGAAGTTAAAAGTTAGTAATTGAATTGTTTTGAATTGATATTGAAGCTTTTTGAATATAAGATCGATGTTTTAAATCTCAGGTTTAGTATGTCAAGTAGGAAGCATATATCTACTATTTAAACTTTACATAAAGTTAAATTTTTATTTGTGCACACCAAAGTTAAAGGGTATAGAAGTCAATTGAGTCAAAAGTTAAAAAAAAATTGTCGTTTGATTGGGAACAAGTTATCCCAAGATAAGTTATCCTGGGGTTAGCTATCCTGAGATAACATTGCCCACCATGTATATGGGATAACTTATTCTATCACTATGATATAAATTGTGGGCCAAAGTCATCTGTAGCCACTCAAAGTTGTCCTCATTATTCATTTAGACTCCTCAACTACACCTAGTACCTATTGAACACCTCTACCACCCCAGATTTGAACCATCTAAGCATTTTTTGCCTACATGGCAAATCGTTTGTGATTCACGCAAATCGTGCGCGTGAATTGTTTTTTCTCCCATTTTTTACCCTGCATTTAAGACATCCAACGTTAACTTGGATATTTTAACATTAAAATCTTCTTCTTCCCCCAAATACATTTTAGAACCCTAATCCCCAATTCTCTCTTCTTCCTCTAAATATCCAACGTTTCTCTCTTCTAAATCAGTTGTGTTTTATCAAATGTCACAAAGTTCAGTGAATATCGAGGAAGTCGATGTATGTAAGTGTGGTTATTATTGTCGACTGAAAACTTCGAGGACTCCATTGAACCCAGGTCGTCGATTTTTTGGATGCAAAGCATCAAAGGTTTGTAGTTATTTGAACAAAGACTACTATTATTGTATTATTTGAAAAATCAACATTTTTGTATATTTATTACTGTTATGTGGTTTGTAGGAAAATGGTGGATGTGGCTATTTTAGATGGATTGATCCGTCACTTGAAAATGTTGATGAATCATCCTTAATGAATAGATTCATAGATGGTCATAATCCGATTGATCGACTAAAGAGAAAAGTGAAAGAGCTTGAAGAAGAAAGGGATTCTTTGAAATTTCAATTGAATGAAAATGAAGAGAAGATGATGGTATTGAACAAGAAGCTCAAGGAAGTTAAACTCCAAAGGGATTGGGAAAATGTCAAATTTAACCGAGTTGTGATTGTTT